ACTGCATTTTTAAGACACTTAAGTGATAGCCTTCGGAAGATGAGCATGAATATATGAATGTACATTTTTTTGCTATCGTTGAGTGTTACTTAGCATCGTAAAATCATAAAATGGAAGTCTTAAAATTCTGTCCCATAAATTTCTAAACAGGAGAATTTGGTATCCAGCAGGCAAAGAGCAGTAAGGATACAGTAGAAATCAACTAATCTTCTGGAGGTCATCCCTGAGGTGACTGATAAGAGGGAAAGAATAAAATCAGGATTTAGTTTACTGTACCTTATGGTTTAAAAAACTGTAACAATTTGAATAAAAGAGGCAGCAAAGAATGACTCTTTGCCGCCTCCGTTATTCAAATTGGTTACAATTTTTTAATTTCTCCTAATTTCTTCCAAAGGACAAGATCATATCCATGTCCACATGTGCCTTTAAATTGGAACATTATCTTTATTGTTCTTTCTTTAAACTGTTCTGGATTTCTAAGGGAAGAAGAGTGGATGAGGATTTCAAAATTTACTTAATTTAGACTTCTCAAGCTAATACATACACCAGAATGATTATCCTTCCAAATGTGTGGTTATTCCACACACAGTTAATCTTCAGGTTGTATGTTTGGATTTGGGACATGAAACCATACAGTCTTGGGGGTGGGGTCAGGGCATGTGTTGATTTTAAATCTGAATATGAATGCATTTTTTAAAAAATTGCCAAGTGAAATAGACCAGGGATGGAATAAATCTTGCAACCCCACATTGGAGAAACTGACATGGCTGAAATCAGATCATGTTTGTGTGACAGAACCACAGCTATCCTGTTCAGATCTTAATTAGACAAATTCTTCCTGAGACCAGCAACCATTTTAGAGAAGGAGTTCTTGAATATGGGGCCAGGGTCATGTTGGGGAGGGGTCTTGTTAACATGACTTTTGGTAGGTCATGCTTAACTTCCTTAACTGAAGAGGGTGCCTGTGGCAGGAGATACCTATACTGTACAGAAGTTTTGACTTGTGTTGCCTTAATAGTTCAGCATTAAGGAATTAATTAAGTAATTGAGTAAGTAATTCTCCTGGGTGTATACTTGTACTTCAGAACTTTACAAACTGTATAGATATCTTAGTGGAAAAGAGCACAATTCATTGGATTTAACACTGAAGATAAACTCTGTAGCATCTAGATAACTTTGTAGAACATCCTGAGCTTTTTGGAGAGTGAATTATTTCTGGGGAGAATTCCTCCTCTTTGGGGACTTTGTGACTAGTCCCCAAATCAATGGCATGACATATTACTTCCTGTCCTTTTATTTTCTGTTTCTCCCAGATAGAGAAGGGCTGATTCTGAAAACAATTTCAGGCATCTTAGTAAAAGCAGGTGGTGCTTCCACAGGAGGACAGGGACAGACCACCAAGTTCTCCACCACATAAGATGATGTAACTCATTCTCCTCTGTCTTTCTTCGGATAGGCAGCGAGTCTTGCAACTTAGCCGTGGGATTCAGGAAATCGGCCAGCCCCGATGGCAACTTGTGTTGTGCCTCTTGGTTGTAGTGATAGTCCTGTTTTTTAGCCTGTGGAAAGGGGTGAAGACTTCTGGAAAGGTATGGCAACGCTTGTTTGCTTTTAATTTAAAATTTTAAGGTACCGTCTTGATTTCATTTGGATATCCAGAGCGGTATAGAACTCTCATATGATATAATACCAATGACAGGTATTTTCCTAATAAAAAATTGTTTAGGATGACCAGATCAGGGCTGCCAAAATCCAGATGACCACTCAATGGCGGTAGAATAAATACGATAAATAAATAAATAAAAAAAATAAAAATCTGGACTTTTGTATTCCAGATATAGTGGCCCTACGCAAGATACGATTCAAAGGGTGGGAATGGTGTGTTATACTGGATGTAATGCAATATGTTATAAATGATGGAAGATAACTTTTTGAAGCTTTGGAGACTCCTGTGCCATCAATATTAGGCAAGAGAAAACAAATAATCCGGTTCAAGAGATAACAGCTTTCTATGTTCCTAATAGATACTTGCATTTTTAATCAACATTTTACTGTTGACAGATGGGTCCTTTTGTTTTAATGTGTTGATCTTATAGGTTGTATGGATAACTGCTACATTGCCTTATGTTGTACTATCTGTGCTGTTAATCCACGGGCTAACTTTGCCTGGTGCATATGAGGGAATCAAGGCATATCTCAACATTGATTTTGGAAGATTGAAAGAAGCCACAGTAAGTGCTCCATCCTTCCACTCCCCCTTTCAGTTTTAAAATTCACATTGCAGAGACGATTTCAGCTAAGATTCTCCTAAAGAGACAAAATGTTCAAAGAACACTGTCTTATTATTATAAAATATAATATAGAAAACCCTGCTTGCTTTAAATAGACCTTATTTCCGTTCATTTGTTTGATCTCCCAGCAAAGTATGTCAGAAGTAAGTAGGACAGTGTGCATGAAAATACGAACCTCCCCAATTCTCTAGTTGAGGTCATAATCTCTCAGCCAACCTGACCATCTTCAGTTGCTTGATGTTAGCAACAGAATGATGGCCCATAATATCTTGAATGGACAGGCACCCATTCAATGGGTGGAGCAAGGAGGCCAAGTGACAAAACATCCACCACAACATTGCGATGCAAATTCTCCTCTTTACGTTCCTGTGTGCAATGTTGTAATGTCAGTATGAAAGGGAGAGCTTGTGTTGTGACATCACGTCCATCTTGTCATTGTGGCATCGTTGTGGTTAGGAATGGACATTTAGGCTTGAATGTATCTGAACTAAAATATCTGTAATGGATTCTTCCCTTTGAAAGCCCCTGTTTCAGGGAGTTATGCTTTCAGTGAATCTCCAGCAGAGAATGAACGACAGCTGGGCAGATGTCTAATGTTTGAAATTAAATGTCTTCTTCACCAAAGGAGGAGCAGTTGCTTCTCAAATAAAGCCTGCAGTGCCAGGAAGAGTGAATGGCGTTGTGCCATTGTTCTCCCGCAGGAGCTTCCTGAAAACATCTTGGTGTCTGTGGATTTTCTCCAATTGTTTTCTCTTCCTTAGACTATAAATCTGTAATTTATTATGTGTAAGCAAGAATCATACACCAGCCCTGTGCCAGAGCAATGTTCGTAGCAAGGCGACACTGAAGCTTAGAAGGGAGACCGACTGGCTGGCTGGCACTTCTTGTAAAAATATTTAGCTAACTAGAAATAGTTTGAGACAGTCACCCTAGGCAGTAAGACTCACTGGCGAAGTCAATACATAGCATTACTGCAGAGTAAACAATTTAGGGGGCATAGTTTTGGGGTAAGTCAGCATCAGAGAAGATTTCTTCGCAGGGTTAATCTAAAGGTTCAGACTGCATAGAGTAAAGATGAAAAATTAATATGATATTTTTGTTATTGAGAATGGACAAAGAGTGCCGTATTCACCACACAAGCACTAGACTTCTCTTGGAAGAAGGGATCATTAGCCAAATCCAATGTACGTTAAAGCAATCTGACATTTATTTATGCCTGCGTTAGGGCTATGCCCTGCCATTCTTCAAGAGTTTAAGGCACCTTCTGTGGAGATCTGCTGGTTGACCTGAGAGAAAATGGCCCACTTGGTCAGTTTCACTCCATCAAGGAAAGAAACTTGACCATAGCTTTTGAAACTTCTGAACGTTGCTGTATTCTCATCCATGTTTCCTGCAACTGAAGGCAAAAGCAAACACCTTAAAAATACATTCACTGTTTTCTTTATGTAGGTATGGATTGATGCTGCTACACAGATATTTTACTCTTTGGGAGCTGGATTCGGTGTCCTGATTGCCTTTGCAAGCTACAATGAATTTCACAACAACTGTTACAGGCAAGCTGTGCTGATTTCACTTGTCTGCGCATATCTTTAATCTTTCTTCTATTGGTTTTTTAAAAAAGCTATTTTCATACAGGTAGACATTAGATAGGAAATAAGATTGCATCAATCCCGTTCCGAGGTATCCATTTTTGAAATTATACAATATTTTTATAATTGGCAGGTGTCTGTTATGTACAGAGATACACACAAGCACAGATGTGTACAGATCTTTATACCACCTTTGGATTGATAAAGCAGATCATACTTCCAGCAATGAAAAAGGGAGCCTTAGTACTAAATCACTTAAAATGCAAAGTGATATTAAACAATGGAAAAGCAGCAAAAGTAGCTTCATTGGAGTTTAGTTTCCAGGCTAAAAGATTAGAAGGTCAAGATAAATATCAAGGTCTTTCTTTAGCATAGGAGAGGATTAAATCTGGCATCGGGTGAATCGCTTTGGTAGGAACATCTTAAGATTAAGTCCCCACACTTGCCTCCAGCCCAGTGGGTGATAATGAGAATGTCTGGAGAACCTTCATGTATAGAAATTACTCACCTGCATTAATCATGCAACAGTGTCATTGAAGATGAATGGCTGTGGTCCAGCTGCCCTGTCCACGGATAGGCTTGCTTTTCATGCATTTTCAAAGTAACGCTCTGCTGAAATTGGTCCTCCAATTTCTCAAAAGTGTTCTTCTCCAACAACTCTTCTTCTCTTCTGCCGTATTTAGAGTTGCTTTAGAAGTTCTCTGCGTTTTCTTCTGGACAGATGTAATTGTTGCACAGTGATGGAAGGGACTCTGCTTGGTGTTTGTCTATTTGTTTTTAGTTCCACAACCCTCCATCACTTTTCAGCTGTCCTACCCACAGTTTCTGATCTAAAAAAGCCTCACGGGAGGGGTTCTCTTTCCTTGGGATTTCATGGAAGTATAGGAAGATAGGAAGACTGCAGGCTACTAAAGGATTGATGAGACACATTCCCTTTTACTCATCCCACAACTATGAGATATAGAAGAACACTTTGTTCCACCAAAACTTTGTACCCCAAAGCTCTCCTGGGGGGGGAGGGATCATAAGCCATTTCCTTTCCATCATATTAAACAAGAATTTGTGAAAAAGTGTAGACTTTGGGGGGGGGGGCTATAGAAATACCTCAATCATTCATTCAAGCTAAGTAGTATCATTTTGTCTATTCCCTTGTGAGCCCAGCCCCAGCCCCTATGCAGAATTTAATTTAAAGACAACAAAATCCATGTTTTGGTTTTAGCATCTTGGTAGTTTGCTTTTGATTAGAATTTGGCTTTGGGTCACTTTAGATTTGCATCATGTAATAGTCGTGACACCTCTAATCACACATGCTTATCCAAATGACAACCATCTGCCTTTTGAATTAGATTACCATTAATTGTAGCCAATCACTAGGAAGCATGCCTTTGAAAAAAAGGAGAGAGAAATGAAACATTTCCGGAGTAATTGCTTTTATCCTGTAATCTGGGTAAATTTACCATGAAACATTTTAAAAGGAAAAGAAAACATACATGGAAAATGAAGAGCCAACTCCACCCTGGATCTATTGGAGGAAGGATGACTTTCTCTTGAGGAAGTCATCCCAATTGTGTTTACCTGGTTTGGTGATCGTTAAATGTGCCTTCTGGCATTTTGCTAGTGTTTGCCTTTCCCTGCCAAATAGAGGAATTTGCTCTCTTTCTGAAATATTCATTTCTCTTTAACCCTTGGAAACAATGTTTGCTTTTGAGACAAGTGCAAAGATTTGGTCTTTATTTATTTAATTAAACAGAACAGAAGGAAAAGAAGAAAATCAGAGCAAATTATATACTGTATAGAGGTTTCTCATACACGTGTATATGTATCTAAAATTTTACACAACAATTGTATTAAAGGATGACTGTATTGCATTATAATCATCCATGCTTAATCTATTTCTGTAAGCAACTAATTTCCAATATGCAAGTAACATCAGGTTCTCAATCCACTGAAGAAATATGGCCATAAATATCTTCTTCCAATACTGAAGGACAGGTCTCTTAGCAATAAGAAATGATACTACCCAAATATCAATTTCCATCTAATAAGTACAGAGTTCACTTGTTAAATAAACCATAATCTAGATCTGTTGAAATGGTTGAGAAAGATATTGATGGTTTCCCACTGTTTAGACAAAATGGGACTCTCCAATTCCTTGTTTCATTCGATCTTGCAAATGTTCATCTTAAATTGATTTATCAATAACCAATATTTCTAAAGATTAATTGTGTGTCTTTTTTCTCATAAGATTTAGTGATCATGTCTAATAATTTAGTTATCTCTGAAGCTGAAGATGCCACTAGTTCAGATCAAGATGTTGGTAGATCTAGCTGTGAATGCTGCCAGCAGACAAATTATATTTACCCTTTAACATAAGAAATGATAAAAATTAATCATTATCATCCAATAATTCATCTAAAGTATAAATTCCAGCATCCTTCCAAATCTACAACATAACAGAAAGAGAGAGAGAGAGGGAGGGAGACAGACTTTAATCTGGATTACCTGATAGCATTAATTTAGTAAGAGAAAAAGGATCAAAATGAAAATTTCCAGAAATAGAATAGCACAATTTTCAAATCTTTGTAGCAGTAGTAGAAGATGTATATAATTTATTATATTCTGAGCTGCAAACAATCTAATTAACAAGAAGTGGTATATGTGAGTATTTCAAAAGGGCCCAGGAAGGAGAATATATACTACATGAAGCTGTCCAAAATATGTTACTAGTCCAAAGTTGTACATAATGATATAATTCAAGGTTTGAGAAACCAAAACCCCCCATCTAACTGACAGATGCGTCTTTTTCAAAGATACCTTCTTTGGAATTGAAGAACCCCATACAAATTTACAGAACATTTAATTGAGGCAAGTGCAATTTGATTCTTATTTGAAAAGAGAAGAAGAACTTGAGTGTTGACTCCATGGAAAAGTTGTTAATAGTATTAGGCAGAGGCATATCCAATGGAGTGTGTAGTAAATGAAGAGCCTTAAGGTAGATCCAGTGGAACTTTAAGAATGGTTAGGAGTTTAGGGAAAATGTAAAGTGGTAGAGCATCTTCTTTCTAGGAAGAAGGACCAAGATTCCATCTCTGGTAACTCCAGGAAAGAGTGCTTCAGCTTGTCATTAAGACTTTTCCCATCTGTTATTGTGACTGCCATTCTCACAATTCCCATCCTACTTCTTTTTGATTCCACCCTTCTTCCAAGAAGCTCTGGATTGTCTTCTTCCAGAGCCAGTTCTAACAACAAAATGAGGTGGTTGCTTCATTCGGAAGACGCAAAGGAGTAGAATGCAGTGGCAAATGTTTGGAGACCAGAGCCCAACCTTCATCTCTAATGTAGCCTACTTCTCCCCAATGTAGTGGAAGATGTAGCATTGCCAGTGTACTGGAGTAGAAGACAGCAGCCCATCTTTCAATATCCATCCCAAAACTTTGGAAGACACTATTTATTCAGACAACAAAATATTTTGAATCAATCCAGTTCTAAATTGCTGATGAGACTAGTTAATCCAAGATCATTTTTTTTTAATGGATCAGGGCTTTGAATTCAGATTTCCTAGGTCTTGGACCAAAAATAATATCTTATCCCAAATCTCAGAGCCGTTCCTCACTTCAGTTAATCACAGCCCTTGCTGCTGCTTCAGCCAGTGTTTTGAATACTGTCTGACAAACGAATCCAGAATTGAAATCCTATCATATATGATGTCACAAATATCAAGTCAGTCCCTGAAATGCTAGGTAAAAGTTGGGGGGAAAAAAAGAGAGAGAGAGAAATATATACCAGATTAATCTATTTCAGTTTTGTTTCTGGGTCTACAAAAATGGCATTGAACCCATCTCTTTTCTTTAAGCATGTCTTTTGTTTATTATCCTGTTTCTTTTCTAAACTTTTGGTTTCTCCAGGGATGCACTGATGACCAGCACAATCAACTGCGTCACCAGCTTCATCTCCGGCTTTGCCATTTTTTCTATTTTGGGTTACATGGCTCATGTATACAAAGTCAGCATTAAAGATGTGGCTACTGAAGGTAAGAAGGTTTCTTCCATACAACCCCATCACCATCAATGAACAGTTTCCCATTTAAAATCCTTAATTATCCATCACTCATCTATTCTTCTCTTTGTTGTACAACAAGAGTGCCTGGTTAAACAACCAGACATGTAAAAAAATGTCAAAGAGATACCTACCCTCTGATTTAAATTTATGAGAATCTTGCTTGTGGGTCTACTCCGAGTTTTCTTTAAAACAATACAAAACAAAAAAATCCTATTCTAAATTGGGTTTAAAGAGAGATTTCAGCGTAGTAATGACGTCTGATGGGTAAAGCATAGTGACACCTATTGACCAATCACAAGTATTACAACAAAGGATATTGTGTATATTCAATCAGAGAGATGATGACAAAGAGTAAAATGATGGTGTGGAATGATTAAGCACATTTGCCTTAAGATTATAAAATCAGGAAACCCATGTTTTAATTTTCTTGTTTCTTAGGAGCTGGGCTGGTTTTCATTCTTTATCCAGAAGCTATTTCAACCCTCAATGGATCAACTTTTTGGGCAGTTGTGTTTTTTATCATGCTGCTTACCCTGGGCATAGACAGCTCTGTGAGTATTCCCTGTTTTCTCCCTTTTCTTTTTGGTAACATTTCAATAGTAAAAACAAAATAAATAAGATGACTAAAAGCAAAATTGCAGGAGAACACCTATCTAAACACAATACAGCCATTGGGCAGGTTCTCCATGGGTTCCCCAAGGTTGCTGGAAGAACCATGTTTTTAGCTGACAGATAAGGTGGGAAATTCCCCAAGCATCCAGAATGCCATTCAGATCCACCAGCTGCCTGGACTGACATCTGTGTACATTGTTTCCTCTTTCATCCTCCAAGAGTTTGGTTCTTGCTGAAAGTGAATGGTGATCACCTCATGCAAGGATAAAAATTGTTCGGTCTGTAAGTTAATGCTCATGGATGATCATTAGCTTTGGAAACATTTTTGTCTTTGAGGAGTAGACAAATTTAGATTTTATAATTAGGAATGGAAACTTCCATAGTGAGAAGAATATGCTAGTCATTTCCCCAACACCTGTAAACAATTTCCTTTTTACTGGTTTAGAGATATTCCCCAGGCCATCCTTGGTACTCTGACTAGCCAGTGTTAGAACTGAATGACCCACTAGGTAGATCTTGGTTTGTTCCAGACAACCCATTCTTAAATTGCCAACTTTTGATGACATGTCTACCTCCTCCTCCTTCTCCCCAACTTAGATGGGTGGCATGGAAGCTGTTATTACTGGTTTGGCAGATGATTTCCAAATCCTGAAGAGAAACCGAAAGCTGTTCACACTTTTTGTCTGCATTGGCACTTTCCTGCTTGCTCTCTTCTGCATAACCAATGTAAGTGCACCATTTGGAAGTGGTTCCTTTGCGAAAGAAAGAAAGAAAGAAAGAAAGAAAGAAAGAAAGAAAGAAAGAAAGAAAGAAAGAAAGAAAAAGAAATGTGGGTGGAGGTATGTTAAGTGTGCAGGCCCAGTTCAAATGGCTGGTTTAACTAAAGACCTTTATGGTTTGGGAGCAGATGACTTCAAGACCTGTCTTGTGGAGCCCTGGGGTTCTAGAGGGAAAGCTGTACTAGAGTGGGGTTGGTGTAGGAAGGCAGGTTCCAACTGAATGTTAGGAAAGCTTGCTAAGACTAAGATTTTCCTAAAAGTGGAAACGGTGACCCAAAGAGATGGTGGGACCCTTGGTTGTGTTCAAGCAGAGATTAGACAGCCATCTGTCAGGGATGCTTTAATTTGGCTGCCTGCACTGAGTAGAGGATTAGACTTGATGTCCTAAATGGCTCCTTGCAACTCAAAGATTCAAGCTTTCCACCATTAATTGGCCCCTGTAAAGCTGTGAACTTTTCTTAAAACTCTGCAGTGAATGGTCTTAATGGTTGCGGCTTTTTTAGCCTAATGCATATCTATTCAAGCACTTGCACGGGTTTTTCCACTTGCTCTGGTTCATCCAGACACATCTACGCTTCATGTACAAATAAGTTACATCATGTAGAAGGATGGCCTCAGTGAGGTAGAAAGCAGAAATCAACCAGATGTTTGGTTGTTTTTTAATTACAGCATAGAACTATGTTTTTTTTAAAAAAGGGACAGAATCAGAACCGTTGATGAGCATAGAACAGTGTGGCCACTTTACAAAGTTGGTGTATTGTGTTTTAACCAATTGTTTTTGGTTCAGTAACATAAAGTTGGCCAACTTAGGGATCACCAGAAGTAAAGATCCTGTGAAGTAAACCATGGCCTGAGTTATCCCCAGTAGATTTGTCTGAATCCCTTAGTGTTCAAGACAACATCACTGTGAATTTATTCAGCAAAGAAGACATGGAAAGACCCTTTGAGCTAGAACAGCGCTCACTTGCAAAGTGTTAGATTGCGGTCCTTGTAGTGACACCAAATGTCCAGTCAAGGCCACTCCCTCCCTCCCTTAACATTCAACAGGGTAGAGCAACTTATCTGGCTGAGATGGAGTGAGGTGTTCTCTGAAATGTACTCTCTACTGTGAAATGTCAATCTTTAAAAATAACAACAAATATCTCTACATTTTTCTCTCCATTTTTTCCTCAGCTTTAGCAGGAAACATCCAGAAGGATATGTAGTCATTAGATTAAACTTTTAAAATCCCAGAGGTGTTTTCCTTCAGGGCTTTACTACACATGTAGTAAAAGATTACTGGGATTAGAGGACCATGAAAGCTGTTCTTAGTGTTTGCTACATCTTCTGGGCACTGCCAGTATTTGGTGGAAGCATGAAGGTGCTCTGTGCATGGACAAATGTGAGCACTAGGCTAGGTGAAACAGGAATCCTTATTGGCTGGAGTTTCCATTTGATCTGGGATACCTGGGAGTGTTTTTTTGAACATATATGGAACTTAGTTCCTTTGTCGTCTTGACCAACGGTTAAATTGGGGTTTGATGCACAGCATATAAGTCAACCTCAGGGCTTGTCTGAGTTGGTGGTGCTCACTCTTCCTACAACGTTCTTGCTAATGCTCAAAAGGTTCTTATACCATAATGTGGTATAAAAATCATCCCATCGTCTAGATTTTCCCCCTGGAGCTCTGCAAGAGAGTGGCAAGGCAGGGGAGCAAACAAACTAACATGGGTTGCAATGTCTCAGTTCAAGCCACTCCACTTAAGGGCTTGCATGCAACATCAGGAAGCCAGTATAAAAAGCCAGGGTTTGTATCATGAGGTTGCCTTGAACATTTCATCATTTTCAGTCCACTGTGATATGTAGTGAATGCTTAAGCCCTTCTCTATATAAATGGTTTTCTCCTTCCTTCCCCATCTATCGTTGTGGCTGTCTATTACCTATCTAGCATGCATTTTATGTTGAATGTTCTTACCTTGTAGGAATTGATTTGCTTGGAGTTTAACGATTTTATTTTAATTATGCTTTTTATACATGTAGCTTCCTTAAGTTTTACAATAGGACTGTGTTCTACAAATAGATTGAATGATTCTCTTTCTTTCTCCTTGCACATTTGGTAAATGTGGGTGCAAAATGGTGGGGGAGGGGTCCCTTTAAACTCACTTCTTGGGTGTTCCTGTCTCTGGAGCATTTTCCCATCTCCTGGCAAAATCTTTCTTGTTCGTGCTGCTTAGGTCCTTGTTTTTATGGTAAGGGATAAAGACGTGTGATATGTAGGTTTAAAAATTAAAGAATTAAAAAGTGAACAACCCATCTGGGTCACAAAGCTGGGGCAGAATGATAGGAATAATGCAAGACAGAACCACAGTTTGATTTAAAGACAAGTCCTTCTTGTGCACTAATGGGTGAAAAGATCCATAGGGACTGTTTTATATTACATCTGTCTTTATTGATATTCATTCAAATTTTGCTGAGTTGAAAATGGAAGTTTACACACTTCTGGAGCTGAGCAAATTAATTTCTAACCATCCCAAGCTTTGAGCATTCAAGAATGGCCCTGAAATTATAATATATTTATTTTACAAGCTGTTTCCTTCTCATCATTTAGGGGGGAATCTACATACTTACTCTGCTGGACACGTTTGCTGCTGGAACCTCCATCTTGTTTGCTGTGTTAGTGGAAGCCATAGGCGTTTCCTGGTTTTATGGTGAGTGGTGAGAATAGTAAGATTAGCTCTTTTATTTGATGACTGCAGGCAGACAGTGAGTCTGCCCAAAACCTGGGTTTCAGCTGCACCCAGGGTCTTCATTAAGGGAGGAATCCTGCAGAAAAATTGCCCCAGGACTCCCCCATGGGGAAGCTGCATCTGAGGTGTGGTGGGGACTTGTAAGTTCACCTGGATTGATGCATTTCATTTGAGGCAATGGAACAGATCAGTTAAAATATAACTGCACACATTCCCAGTTTCTGTGCCACTGACTTCAATGGAGGAAGAGTAATGGAGAAAAAAGATACATTGAACTAAGGTGAAATGAGGAGAATTGCCTGAAGAGAGATGAGAGCTGAAAGGAACTTTCTGCTCTGGAACTTCTCAAAGGCCTTCATTTCTGACTGAAGATGTGTGGGTGAAGGTTCCTTTGACCAAAAACATCTCTTCCAAAACAAAAGCATTTCTGTCAGTAGAAACCATCAGGAAGGGCTCGCCTTCACTGCACAATCTTTTTAGTTTTAGTTTTAGGGAGGAATTACTGCTCAACTTCTGAGAATAATCTTTTGCCTTCTGAACAGCTTCTGTATGTCAACAGCCAACAGACCAAAACATAGGTCACTGGTGTAAAAGAGGCATTGGGAGATTAATCCACACAAAGACAGACATAACTTTCCTGATGTGTACATGATCATAACACAAGCCACCCGAGTCTGTTCTCCTTCTGCAAATTGAAATAAATGCACTTGGATGACCTAGACTGTAGAGGTTGTATTCATTATGACTGCGATTTGCAAGGTTTACAAAATGCAGCAAGGCAAACCTGGGGGAAATGGCTTCTTAATCACTCATGTTCCTGCCAAGTTGTGAGTGACAAAAGCCCGTGACTAGCAACCTCGGAGACAGGGAGCACAGTTTTCATGAGACCTTCAATTATGCTGTTCCCATCATGTTGGATAAATGCCTGTAATTGCAGGGCATCTGAGACTCGGCTAGAAAAGGTAGTTTCAGCTCTTTCCCTCAACCAGATGCTGCACTTCAGATTCTACAACTTAATCCTTCCTCATCTAGTGGAGCAAGGGGGCCCTCTGGGAAGTGTAATTCCACTGGCTGTGTCCTGTACTGACCATCCAGTGCTACCAGGAACCTGTGTTTGCATGGCGTCGGGCACAGGTGCCCAACGCTTCCATAAGCCAGTAGTTGATGGGAGCAATTTGGCTTTCTTGCCAGCAGCATCCCTCTGAAAATGGGGCACCAGCAGCAACAGAAGACAGATATCTCTGTGAAAGGATTCCAAAATGGTGTGATGGCAATAAATTCTACCTGTGAACATTCATTATATGAAGAAAAAAATGGTGCCTTGGCTAGACTGGGAAGCTGAGAAAGACATCCAAGGATGCAGTGACAAACCATTTCTGTATTGTCCTTGAAGTCATCATCACTCAAACTCAGCTTGAGGGAGTCTTTTACCTGTTGGGGATGTACTTAACAAATTCTGGAAATAATTACTTCTTCTTCTTCTTTTAATCATGCTTGGGTATGTTATGGGTCACCTCATCACTGGTGTATCACCAGTTTTGGACTTTTTCCCTGGGAAAAAAATCACATAAGAAGTGGCAGCAATTCTAAGCTGTTAAATTAACAGGAAGTTCTTAAGACGATACATAGTGCTGTGTGGTCAACCATATATTGCCACATCATATCATCAGTGAGGGCATGCAAAGCCGGTTGATACTGTATGTTGTGTTTTCTTGATTTCTAGACCAACTGCTAGAAAACATATCTATTAATGGCTACTAGGCTTGATGGCCTGGTTCTGCCTCCAAACACATAGTCGGTCTGCCTCAATTTACTAGGTGTATGGGAAAAACAGTGGGAGAGAGAGGCTACCTTGATTTCCTATTTGTGCCTTCCTGAATGCATCTGGTGGACCATAATATGAGATGGATCTGGGGGACCACCATGTGAAGATGGAATGCTGGTTTAATGGGCCTAGGCTTGATCCAGAAGGGCTAGCCTCACGTTCTCATGATCAGCAATTTCTTCATTTGCACGTGTCTGTTACTTAGTAAAGCTCCTGAGGGAGAGGAACACTAAAATAAGTACTAATTAGAATTACAAGTAAGGGTACTTTTTGGAAGGCCATATAATCATAGAAATGGAAAAAGAAGAGAAACTCATTTGCATTTTTTATGGCAGGGTTTAGGGACAGAACTAATTTTTGCTGTGTTTGTGCAGCCCAAATGCATTTCAGTAAAGGAAATCCCAACTAAACTCAGTAGAATTTATTCCCAGGGTAGTGTACTTAGAACATACAAGCAATGATTTGTGCTTAAATTCCACTAAGTTCAGTCAAGTCATCATCGGTGTCATTCTGTAAACTTCCAAGACAACTAACAATTTTCGGATGCATCTACCAAATGTGACTCTTAATAACCAAGATATGATTTCTGTTTTTTTTTCTTCACCATTGTGGTCAATCTTCAGGTGTGGACAGATTCAGTGAAGATATCCAGCGAATGATGGGTTTCAAACCAGGCATCTACTGGCGATTGTGTTGGAAATTTGTGAGCCCTGCTTTTTTACTGGTATGACGTATCATTGTTCCTTAGAAACGTTACAATGTTTTATCTATTTGTGGCATTCTGTCTGCAATGCTTCCACGTGGGTTGGATTTCCCTTCCCATAAATTGGGCATGACAACTGGAGAACTTCAAAATTGTAGGAACAGAAGTCCAGGATATCTGGAAGATATCAAGCTGTGGAAAGGTGAATGACATGAGCATCTATTTTCAGGTATAGCTCAAAGACACGATATTTGAATGTGAACTTCAATGAAGTTAGCAACTCAAGTAGCTATGGTGGATGGGCTGACATAGCTTCATCCAAAGGACACATTGTAGAGGGTATTGTGTTAGGGTTTCATTTATGCATTGGACCAGTTAAATATGCACAGTGCCCACCTTACAATGTGTCCCCATATTTAACTGGTCCAATGCATCCCGCTGACAATTCCCAATCCAGAAAGATGGACAAACATCTGTTTTTTAAATTTTTAAATATTTTTTATTGCTTTTTAATTAATAACAGAAAAAAAAGAAAACACAATAACAATAATACACTATCAAGAAGAAGAAAAAAAGCATTAAGAAGTGCTATTACAAAAAAGTGACAAAAATACAGCAAAGAAAATAAAAACTTAGCATAGTATATCATAACAGTAAACAGTTACACACACACACACACACACACACACACACACATATTTATAACTATTTACTGTTATAATGATATACTATGCTAAGTTTTTATTTTCTTTGTTGTGTTTGCAAATTTTATTCAGATGCATATAATTTCCAATACATTTATGCGACTACCATTTTTTTTAACCTACTGTATTTTGTATAAATAAGCCTCATATTTCATTATACTTGTCCATACAAAGTCTACATCTATAGGCCATCTGCTCATACTTGGCTAGTGCAATCAGGCCTTCAATCCATTGAATACATGGGACCATACATTTATCTTTCTAATGCAAGGTGGATAGACATCTGTGTGATGACATATAAAAGCCTTTCTTAGCCAAAGAAAAACACTTTTTCATCATTCAAGAGATTAGAATGAAGCTGTATAAGAAAAGAAATGAACACACTTTGTATAGGAGGTGGATTGTCCCTGAAGGATATGGACCAGCAGAAGAAGGATCAAACGAGGGAAGTTGTTCAATGAAAAATGTAATATGTGTTGTATAAATGTGCGCTGATTCTACAGACTTTGGAACAGAGGTGAAAGAGAATACCTTAAGCACTTATAAATTTCAGGTATTTATTTACTTTAAAAAGAGAAATCTTTCTGCAGGTGTATCAGTACTCTAATACATGGAAAATATTTCCGTTTAGAAGATTTGAAGCCATTTTCTTGCCAAGCCACCCCAAACAATTAATTACATTAATAAGTACACCGTCTCTAATTAGGGAGCTTTGTAAGATCATTGAGCTTGTGCTTGTTCTGTCAATATAAATATGCACGTTTGATAAAGATATGGTCCACTTTTCACGTTTCTTGGTTTTCACAGGATTTGGAAAAGGAAACTCATCTCATTTATAGTCATCACCAGCAGATGCTAAGATAGCCCAATGAAAAATAAAGAAGGAGAATCAAAACAAAACTTCTTAGTATTCCCCCCCCCCCCCAGATGTCAGGTAAAGGGAGTCTGAAGACAATGCATATTTGAATTAATTAATGGGAACATTAGGAAAATTACATTGAAATTCAGAGCATGTTTGCCAAGACTATTGCTGGAACTCTTGAGATACAGGTTTAGTATCGTACTACTGCTGTATTTCCTACAGAAAGCAGAGCCATAGAATAGATCACCCTCCTCCAACCTGGTGTGCTCCAGATGTGTGGACTTCAGATCCCATAATTATCTACCCACCATAATCATTGCTGAGAATTCTAGGAACTAGACTTTGCCCAGAGTAGAGAAAGCTGGATAGGATGGCTTTCAATTCTAAATGTTTCCATTTTTTTAAAAAAAGAGGGAATAATTGATGCATAATTGCATCATGTATTCATAACTGAAACATCAGGAAAATGAGAATCCAGAACAGTCTATTTTGCACATCGCTATTGCTATATTTATAACTTCATGATATTTTCTCCATTTCTAATTTGGGTTTGTCTATTCTTGTCACAGTTTCAGAGTTATTCTTTTTTAAGTTTGCACTAACATTGGTTTTAGGGACATTCCTTCAAATAGCTGCATTATTCTGTTATGTTGTCTAATACACAGTTCTTGCAAAGAACTTCCTGTCATATACTGCATTTTTGTACAATATTGTCAGGAATGAATACATGTTCATCTTGTTCTCTAATATAGGTTATTTTTCATTGGGAAACTACACTGAAATATTGGGGAAATGCATTCAAATATTGGTTCGAAAATGTAAAATGAAGTCAGTGCAAGGTGAAGGAAATTTAGATTTATGAAAGTAATTCTAAAGGCACACTTTGGAAGTCCATAGAAATGTATAGTTTAGTAGAGAATCTGAATTCCCAAACGTTTCCATTTTAATGCCTATTTATAGGTTCCCTAATCCCAGTGACCTCCAGATGTTTGTAGACTTCAACTCCAATAGTCCCTCTACTGCATGGCCATTGCTGAAAATCCCAGGGCCTGAAACTTAGATGCCTGGAAAATACCAGGGTTCCAGACAGCAATGTTTTTGATAGCCCTCTTTAAAATTATAGAAGCATCCTGATCAGGTGCCATCAACAGTGCACATGGAAAGGAGATGGGGGAAAAGTATGCACAAGATATGCTTACTTCATTGATAGATATGAGACTGTTCCAAGTGAATCTGTCTCTTGCAATAACATATGATACTGGATCATTGTGTTTGTAGCAACAGTGCATTGAGGAATATTCCCAGGGGATGGGAATACTGAAAACAGATGGAATCAGGTCATCATCTTCACCTTTGCTTGTGACCAGTCCATGATGCTCCCAAGAAAAAAAGCAGGTTCAACTAAGCTCCTCTTCATATTAATGTGGCTTCAGTCCATTGTCTCTCTAGACCAATTCAGTAAAAATAAAGTCACATGTTCCAGGGTAACCTGATTGAAATTTTCAGTTTTTATCACATTAGAATGGAGATGCAAGATGTCATTAAAAAAAAAAAAAGAAGCATTGCTAGAGAAACTATCCATTCTTGCTAAAACTGTTTTTTCCACAATTAACATCTTTAACTTGATGTTTGAGTGATGGGTCAAATAACTAACATTACAGGCAAATCAAAACCCTTTGGGCCTTTCTGTGCAACATAATTGCACTTGGCAGTCGATATTAAATGTGAGGGGTTGGTCTCCTGTCCAGTGTTGTGACTTGTTTTCATTTTAAGTAGATACAAATGCTATGATAAAGTACAGAAGCAGGACATGCTTGCAGGATCCACTAGAATTCGGAAAGGGGAAAGCTGTTTGAATTTGGGAATAAGATCCAGGTACTAAAATGATAGGAAGGAACATCCATTGGGCTGTCTGTCTTTGGTATGTCACCCTTTTGGTATGTTTCAATCTCCTTTTCAGATCATGACATCCATTTGAACGTCAGTTCCATAAAGTAACATATATTGCACTTGGACATTTTTAAAATGGAAATGTTTAAAGGAAGGATGGGTGGGTCAGTGGGTGATTCCCAGCTCCATTTTATGTCCCACTAAAATCCTTTCGAGATTTTTGATTGACTACATACCATCAAGTTGTTGTTGACTCCTAGTGAACAGATAGATAGATTTTCTCCATGACAATTTGTCCCTAACCTTGTCATTCAGGTGCTTTCAAGACTGCACTGTTGTAATTTGGGGGCAATTTGTGAATTTTCAGTGCTGAGTTTTTCAAGGAGAAAGGTTGATAAAATTAAGAATTAAAATAAAATTTGCCCTTCTGTAATGTCACTGTTTGGCCACTGCTGCCCTCAAAAATCTGTGTACCAATATTAGGGTTGATTATATCTATATCTCTCTATCTCTCTCTCTATCTCATCACCTCAACCATAAAATTGTTGTTCAACCCCATCTAAGTAGTAGAGGTAAGCAAAAATATTTACATGCAACAAGAATTTAATGTGAATAGCCTTCTCTTTCCATCTCAGCATAAACCTGTAATTCAGAGGAAGTTAATTTGTTTTCCTCCTCCTCCTCCTCCTTTTTTTCTTATAGTTTGTGGTCTTAGTGAGTGTCATAAATGCCAAACCTTTGACCTACGACCAATATACTTACCCCTCCTGGGCCAATTCTGTTGGATGGGTCATTGCATCATCTTCCATGATACTTGTGCCTGCATACATCCTCTACAAATTACTGAAGACACCAGGGACCTTTCAACAAGTGAGTGGTCGAGCTATGAAATGTCATGGAAATGTTCTTTGTGAATTGAAAATTGCCAGTGTTAAGCTAAGAGTTTGCTTTCTTTAATTCCCCAAATGCTTCATAGATAGGTGACCTTTTGGAAAACGCTTTAAAGTAATTTTGCATTTCAAGAAAGGATTTGGAACTCTTCTGTATTTCCTCTTCTGGACATTTGGAAGCTAAGCCATCCTGGGTCTATTAAGGGACAAAGTAGACATGAGGCAGAAAATCAAAATTTGCATTTCCCAATGGCTTTTTGCTGGCATCAACACAATCGCAGGGGTTCAGATTAAATTAAAGAAGTGGCCTCTGGGGGCATGACACTTCTCAGTGGCGCTACTGGCATAGAATACTGGACATTATCCCAGAGCCTTGCAGCCTACAGGAACCCATATTTATTACCATGCACATCTATAACAAGGAAGAGGACGGGGAGGGGGAGGATCTTCTTATATGCTACCTTCTTCTCCTCTCCTCCAGAGTGTCATTGGGCAAAATAAAGATTTGGGGAGCAACAGCACCCTTGCTCTGAGAATATCCAGACTCTTTTCAAAGTTAAACAAAAGAGAGAAGGGAACACTGCCTGGGGGGTGGAATAAAGTAAGAGAAAGATTGCTAAGAAATAGAATCTGGGAGGGAAAGGAACTTGGGAGTAAAGTTGAAGCACCCAGAAGTGTCTATGATCTTTCCTTGAGGATACCTTGTCCAGGGTCTTCTCAGCCATGGGTGCAGCATGCATTGCTTCCTCGTACAGAGTCACATTTTCCATATACAATGCCATTTTTTCTGGTTTCAATTTTTTTTTTTAATCTGATATCTGCAAAGTTGATGATAGTGGAATAGAATATAGGTAACTGTTACTGTGTCCACACACAACACTTCCTAGCCTAAAAGAACCTTCCAAAAAATGTGAGTTTATGGTTCCTTTCAGGGAAACCAGAGGCCAGGATTAATCCCCACCCCCTTTTAATATAGTTGATTGAATTAGCAGTCCTCCAAAGCTGGTCTGAACTTTGGGGGGACAGAACTAATTATTTGGCCTTTAGATACATGTTCTGGCGTTCCTTCAGGCCTCAAGTTGATGTACACATTGCCCTCTTTTAGTTTTTCCTCGCCACAGCAACAATCTGTGAGATAATTCAGCTGATTGGCCAAAAGGTGAATTTAAACCTGGGTCTGTCCAAAATCCAACCACTTTACCACTACACCACACCACACTGATATTCCTACATATTTGGCTGTAAGATTCTGGGGGAGATGAGCTGAGCAATCTCCCTAAGAATCATAGGGGATTACCTTTCCCAACTTGGCTTCCACCAGATGTGGAGTGGTGACAAATCACATAATTTATAATTTGGATCTTGTACCCCAAAGGCACCAAGAGGGCAGCAGAGTGGGGAAGGTTCCAAATACACACCCTGGCCTTCATTTTTGCAGAACTATTGTTTCTAGGCTAAAAACCTGCAACCCATTGTTCTACATTACAATTACTCTCCACTCCCCCCACCCCAATTACCAGTTCTAGATTGCCCAGAATTAAGATTTGTGATCACAATAATTTTCTTGTCACTGCCACTGGAAAATCTTGCTCTTTAAGCTCTTAGACATCCATAAAATGCAAGAGAAAACAATTCCTGTCTTTTGTTCTGTTTCAGGTTTTCAGTAAGATATCAAGCCAGTTCCCCTTTGGGGTTTCAGATGCAAACAGACTATATTATAAAACAGTTTAAAATATAGAGAGGATGGTGTTTCTTATCGGCGACCATCTCCTGTTATTTCTTGAGTTGCCCTGATGGCACGGTTCATTCATACTCAGCTCCAAGTTCTGCGTAATCTTGAATTGTTTACTCTGATATTATCTAAACTGGGGTTTATTGTTTTTTTAGAAATATAGAAGTGCGAGGCAGTGGTGTAAATTGTTGATTGAGAAGACCTACAGGTCTTCTTCCTTTATGAAAATAGACCTGGGCCAAGAAGGGGGGAAAAAAATCAGATTGCATCATAATGGCTGAAAGGTTCCTGAGCGGTTATCTTTTGGGGAGGGGGAAATCATCTATTTTCTGGGGTTGTGCTTTGGGTTATTTCTGAAGCCCCTTCCTTGCTTTCAAGGAGATTGCTGCTTCCATATGCAGCTCAACTACCACCAGATCTTCTTTAACCTCCATAGCATTCCTTCCATTGTGAATGTGCAGGCTTAAATTTCCTTAAAATGCCTTCCCCCCCCCCTCTGCTTCCCGTTAGAAACTAGCGTACTGCATCACGCCAGAGAACGAGCAGCACCTAGCAGCTCAAGGAAACGTGAGACAGTTTAAGGTTTGTATCCCCTTGCTTGTTTTTTTGGCTTTTAAATTCTGCAGAATGTAAACACTGGGGGGAAATATTCACGTGATCGTTTCATTTTCAGCCGTGTGTTTATGTACAATGTGAAGGTTATGAGCCCCCCCCAAATGTGGGTTGTGTCCCTGCATATTGCAACCAAACTGTAATGTTTACTGTGACAGAAGGGGGATGTGGATGGAGAATAACCTTTGTGGCTTTTTAAAAAATTTAAATTCTAATGGAATTAATTTTAGTTTTGGCCTTGGCCTCCCCCAGTCATTTTGAGGGCAGGTGCGCTATTCAAACTTTGCCCAGACAAAGTTGTGCACCCTTCTTGTGAAGGATGAAGCAAGGATTTAATTTAGGGGGGCTTGTATATCTTTGTTGCAAATAGTTGTGGGTGGCTTTTCTATGAGAAACACAAAACACCCACAGCTGAAGAGATCTGAAGTTCTCTGCTTCCTTTGGATTGCTGTCAAGAAAAGGAAGCCAATTCCATAAATCTCACACATTTGCCACTGTGTCGTATTGGACTTGGCTGGCACACCAGGTCTTCGTATAAAATCAATGAACTAATTCAATGTATTCATTTTAAAATCTCAGAAGCATGTGGGTTCAGCTAAATTCTGTTTTTTTTCCTGCTTCTCCTTGCAGCTTCAACACTGGATATCCATATGATGACTGTGACATTTGACAGGAAAAGCCAATACGTGGTAAAATGCAGTTGGGCACACCTGAGAAATCAGGAATGAAACTGGGTCATCTTTGGTTGTAACTGGCTGGCTGTCAGGCTGATTCAGATTATCATTTCCAAATTTTTGTGGGCGAAGATTCATCTTCCTCTCTAACACGTAATAGTTCTCGTTTTTTCCCAGATGAACTTTCTTGATGGCTTGATTTTTTAAATTATTTTTTTTCATTTAATAATAATAAGAAAAAAATGCAACAATTCATTTCCAAGAAGTTAACGTTGCTCCTGGTCGAAAAGGACCATGCTTGTTAGTGCCAGCAGCAAAAACTGGAGAAGTTTACCTTTACTCAAAGGCCATTTTACTGGGAGCAGAGAGGGAGAGAAAGACCAAGAGCAAGAGGATGTTCTGGAAAATTCAGAAGAAAAGAAGTGGTTTTGTTTCTTTGTTCAAGGGGGAAAACAATAGAAAAGACTGCTTATGGAGTTGGATGAGGAGGTTCACAGAGACATGGTCAACAACTGATTATGCAATCATCAAGCTGGTGGGGCCATTTTGGACATGTAGCCCAATTCTGGTTTGGTGGAGAAATCCAGAGTGAGATCTCTTATGAACAAACTGTCCCACTTGTGCTTCAATGTCTCTGGCAAGGGAAACCCTGCACTGATGTAGGAAGATTTCCAATCCACTGTCAAACTCCTTTCAACCATCAAGACATTTCCTCTGTTACTCAAGCAGATGGTGACTTCCTTCTGTAGATTAGACAGCATTGATCAGATACCAAATGCAATGCTTTTCTTGACAAAGGCCTGGGACGGAATTCAGTTTCAAACTCTTGCAACTTGCAAGGGCCAAATAATAAAAACAAATAAATAAAAGGGTTCAGAGTAGTCCAGTCCTCTAGCTATTCTTTGTTCGTTATTTGTACCAAATAAAGAATCCACAGAATGGATTCTTTTTTTCTTTTTCTTTTTAATAGACACATGCTAAGATGCACTGGTCAATCTGGTACCATAACAATATTTTGTTATGTCATGCTATCAGTAGTATAGCCAAGTTCTAATTAACTTTAAAATAGCTGGGAAAATCAATGTTACCATTTAGCGTCTTTCAGGGGCTGATAATTAGAGGAAGGGTAAATCCAAAATCAGAGGTCTTTTTTTTTTTTTTTAAGTTTCATGACAAGCATTTTCCACAGTAGCATGTATCTTTCATAGATAATATTCTCCCCCCTCCCCCCAAAAAAACTAGTCGCTAGAATACTAGGTGTGAAAAGAATGGGTAAGTCAATACTCTGCTCATCACTGGAAGGGTTACAAAATCTTTGATAGCAACTTTTCAGATTTTAAAAGAGAATTCCAAAGAACAAGCCATCTAGTATTATCACCAAAAAGAATTCTAACCCTTTTTCTATCTGAAGCTTTGTATACATGGGGGATTTGTTGATTACCCTGTTTATCGGATGTGCATTTAAGGAAACATCTACTAGAGAGTACCATCACCACCCCATGTTCAGAAATGGTACAGTCAAGGCACAGTTTTCTTTCCCCCTCCCCTCCAAGCTAGGTTGTTATCTCTCAGTTTAATCTACCTCACAAGGAAGTTGTGAGGCTAAAACCTCTCTCTAATTTCTTTTGTGGATGGTCTGCATGAAAAGCATATTGCATGAAATGAAATCATGCAGAATGCACCTTCCTAGATTCCATTTTGGCACTGCTTCAAAGTACTTTAAGAGACTGAGACTGAACTGATGGGTCTCCAATCTCCTCCTCCTTTACAGATGGAGGATGAAATGTCCGCCCCTGAAGTCCTCCTGTTCTTCTAGTTCTATTTGGCAGCTAAGCATGAAGTCATATTTCTTACCTAATCCACTTATTTTTTCATTTGCCAGATTGACACCTTATAAAATACTTCTCCTTTCTTGACAATAGCTTTAATATAATCACCATCCAGTTTCACCCCTGTTATTTATACATCTCATCCTTCTTTGCTGCCTTTCTCATGTTCCTTCTTGGCCTACCAGGTACAAGCTCTGAGGAGTCTACCTCGAAAAGTTCCTGCTTCGTCTTTTCAGCTCTTTCAAGTAGGCACTCTTGGGATATGTGTATGCTTTAAAGGGAGACATGCTTTTGGTAATTATTTGCCATGGTGGTGTGACCTTTCGCTGTCTGAAGGCCAGGAGAATAGTTTGCTCCACCAATACTACTACTTCTGTATAACTGCTTGGTAAAGAATTTTTTTTTCCAGTCACTGGATCTAGAATCCAGTTGATCCCGATGTGCCTTAACATCACAATAGCCTGCTCAGCATTGTCGTGATATCCATATCTAATAAAGTTAAGTATCAATGGTTTGTAATAAAGGGTGGGTATGATGAACAAAAGGTGACATGCAGAAACACAGAAGATATTGGCCTTTGTTTTGGTGTATCTAATGCATTCTTTGCAGAGTTCCTTAAACAAATTACTTTTTATGGTAGTCTTTCCCAGTTTGGGGTACCCTTCAGTCAACTAACTCCCCACATTCTCAGCAGTGCCCATGCTGGTTGGAGAATTTTGGGAGTTGAAGTCCTCTCCTTGAGAGGACCCCTAGATTGAAGAAGGCTGCTTTAGATGAAGGATGAACAATGTATGGCCTTCCAATTCTTGATGGATCACAATTACTATCTAGACTGCTTCAAATTAGAATTCAGTGACATTTGAGGGTCCTCTAATTGTCTCTCCCTGCTGAAGGAGTTCTGATTCAAAGGGCCGTGAAACATTCTTTCAACTAACTGCCTAACTGCTGTGCAGAAGGAGAAAGGAACTCACATCTGGATCATAGCAGTTTGGTGTGGGTCTACTCATGATCTAAAAACCACCATTTCATGAACAATTACATGGCGGTAGGCTGCCATTTTGTTCTCTGACACCAAGAAACCTCCCAAATCTGAAACCCAAGTCTTGATGGGATACGAAAGATAGTTTTTCGTGTTGCAGCATGGAAAGTAAAAAGGGCAGAGGACAGTGACTGCATTCAGATTCATTCTTTCCCAATCCAATATTGAGTTGCTTTCAGTGAACAACACCCTTTTGAAAGCAAGATGCCTTGTCAATGGCTGAGTCGCCCAACCCTGTATCTCCTCCACACCCTTTGCCTGAAAGTAAAGATCGGTGGCTTTTGCTATGAAGAAACTCCCATATTCAGGGAAGTGTCTTTGCTCTATGAAAGCCTCTTTCATGCTTTACATTTGAATTTACAGGAAAGCCCTTTGATTAACTGCTCTACGTAGCAGGATACAGGATAGATTCAACTTTTGCCCTGACCTCTCCCAACCCTAAGGCTCTTCTTCAAATAGATCCTTTTCAGAAAGAAATGCAAAGCCTAACCCTCCCCCCCCAAAAAAACCCCATGAACCCACTTTATTTTGTCTCGGGACAAAAATGTTCACCAAAATCCTTCCTCAAACTCCATGTTGTTTCAGCACTAAGAAACATCATAACCTTATCACCAGTTGTTTTTAACACACTCTGATCTTCCATTCCAAAGTCAGTTGGTAGAAGAAGAGGTCCAAATCCCTGTCCAATGGAGACATATCGCTAGATGCATTGTTCCTGGGAGGTTTATCAGTGGTGAACCTCTGTGCAAAAAGTTGTTTTTCCCACTCTATCTCAGTTGACATTTTTCAAGGTTGCCTTACAGAGAGAGCTTTATCATTAACATTTCTTTGGTTAATGCCAACTACTTCTTTTCGCTTGATTTGTAATGCCTTTTTTATAACCAAAGGGTAAGTAAGGGTACGTCGATGTATATCAATCTTTTTAAAGTCTGTTTTCTTTTTTATGTTTTCATAAAATGGGGGGAAATGTATATTGTAAAACAACAAACAAAAATGTGTTTAAGCTACTTGAGTTCCAATTAAAGTCTGTCCCTTCTTTCTAAATTAATCCTCTTGGGTTAAATTTAGTCTGAATGGATGGGTTGCCTTTTGACTCTCCGTGCAGTGTAATAAAAGGAGAATAACTTGTTTGCATTGACAGCACTGTGCAATGTCCTCCAAAGCTGCCTTAACCAGATAGATAGTCTTGTGTGGTTGTATGCTATATTCTCAAGAAACCCGAAAAGTATTTTTCTGTGTAAGTTTATTGTAGAAAATTGTTTGTAATCATCAAATGGGCGGAGAGACTTCAAATGCCATTCTGGTCTAGTTTTCCATCTACGTGCACAGAATACATGCAAGGCTGTGATTCTCCATGACCTAAACCACAGGAGCGCAAATTGTGCTCTTCATTTTAAGGAGAAGGGCACTGCAGATTTTCACCTGGGCAGAGAGCGAGATTTGGAACTCGATTTGTTGGGAATAAAACTGGGCCACTGATGGGAACATCTGCAGGTGGAACTTGGAAATCAGGGCACATGGGCAAACAAGGGTTTGCAGAACCAGAGATTTTTCTTGCGATAGCCTCTGATGTCTTTTACAAAGCATGGGATAAACCTTAGTTCAATTAGAAGGTGGTAGGAGCTCACACACCACTAAAAAATGCAATCTTAGCAAGGTGTAGCCAAGTGTCTTCAATTCACGCTTTCTTCTATTGGCTTTAGTTCTCTGCAGATGACCCAGCAACATTTTCCTTTTATCAGTCCATTCCTATTCATATCTTGGGTGTCTGAAAGTAGCATTTTATTATTTCCCACCACCACTACCACAGCCTCTCCTCTCAAGACAAGGAAACTCCTTTCCAAAGTATATAACCAGGAATAGCTCATTTTCTTTATCATTATGGACATTAAGTGTGATGCTTGCACCAGCTGACTATATCCAGGATGTCAGTCATGTTTTTGAGTATCAAACTATTTGTCTTCTTTTCTTTTCCCCCCACTTTCTCTTGTCCTGTGGATCCTTGGAGATAAATGGGTTTTGTTTTGCTTTGTTTTCAAGCTGTGCTCTGTAAATACTGTGTTTCAAAGTCTTATTTAAGTTTACATAGAAATATGCACTATGAAGAAATAT